GAGGGGAGAAGAGGGAACTCTCAACAAGTGGCCTGGTTTTTGTTGTTTTGGTTTGGTTTGGTTTTTTGGGTTTTTGTTTTTAGTAAAATATGAGGCAAAAGTTCTTAGCTGAAAAGGGGGTGGGGCAGTAGGGGTGAAAGGTTTAGAAGCACTGCTGGTAAATGGGATTGTGAGTTAATTAGGAAGGTGTAAAAGGATTGCTTGCAGCAGTGAGGCCTTGGTTTGAGATTATGTAACAAATTTGTAGTGGGGAAGGGGAAAGGAATAAACATTTGTAAAGCACCTACCATGTGCCAGGTACATATTTTTAATCTCATTTGATCTTCACGACAACTCTAAGAGGTAGGCCCCATTGTTCTCCCTATTTTACAGATGAGGAAATTGAAGCTGAGAGGTTAAGACACTTGCCTAGGATCACACAGCCAAGAAGCATCCGGGACAGGATTCATAGAGGTCTTCTTGACTCCAGATTTTCCACTATCCACTGTATCACCCAACTTTCCCTCCTTACCCTTCCAAAAAATATATGCCCATGACTGAGAAATGGCTAAATAAGTTGTGGTATATGAGTATAACAGAATATTATTGTGCTGTAAGAATGAATTTAAAAAGCATTTATTAAATGATGTGACAATCACTATACTAAACACAGGAAATACAAAAACAAGAGTCTCCACCCTCAAGGAATTTACATTCTTATAAGGAAAAATGATATATGGTAGTGACCTAGGAATTTGTTTGTCCTTCATTCTCAAAGACTACCATGACATCCGGAAGGTGATGACATGACTTGTGCATGAATTGGATTTAAGTGAGAGAGGGCTGTGCAAAGTCACCTGCCTCACTTTGTACTCCGGAGCCATCTGGGTCCAGTGGCCAGATATAGATCAGAACAACTGGAGATGGCCCTGGGCCTGGAAAGTATATTTTGGGTTTAAAAGTTACAAGAATGTTGAATGGAGTCACAGAAGAGTAGATGGACAGACATATCCTTTACAGGAACAATGATTGCTGATTTGATTATGCTCCAGACCTGAAAAGGGGATCGGCTGTGTTTGTGTGTGACAGTGTAGATCTGTGAGTGGGGGTGGCCCCAAGCACCTGGTAAGGAATACAGAGAAGAATGGAAAGATTTACATGGACTGATGTAAAGTAAGCAAAAATAGTAAAACAAACACAACTACAACATTGTAAATGGAAGGAATAACAACAAAACAATTGAAACCGAATGCTACAGAATTACCATGACTATGCTTGGCCCCAAAGAAGAGATGGGAGAAGGCATTTCTACCCTGACATAAAAATGTTCAAAAAAACATAAAAGTATTCCCTGATATTTACTGTTGTCAGTCATACTTATTAACAGTCAGAGACATTTTAATAACTGGTTTATGATACGTTTAGAGCATAGTCTTATGGTACACAAAACCAACCAATGGACCATGAGTAGCCTTTCCAGGAATTGTATATAAGACAAGGCAGGGTGGATATAATTGGAATTGAATATGTATGACACACACACACACACACACACACATTTTGAAGTATTATATAGACGTTACTTGTTATCATTACTGCTGCTACTACTACGTTTTCCCATTCTGTGCTACTACAAAGAAGGCCATCATAAATGTTTTGGTATATTTGGAACCTTTCTTTTTGTCTTTGGTCTTCCTTGGGGTATATACTTGGCAATAGAATCACTAGGTGAAAGGGTATTAAGATTTTAGGTACTTTCTACTTAAAATTCTAAATTGCTTTCCAAAACAGAAGTAAATACAGTCTATGCAGCTTTGAAGCATATTGAATTTATTATGCACTTTTTGTTAAAGCAAGAAAAAATGCTACAAAAAATTTTTTAATACTAATGACGTGAGAATGTCACATGGCCTTAGTGCCAGAGAGAAGAGCCCCACTACCAGCTTTCTAGTACCAAACTCAGTTCTCTGCTTGGTTTTCACTGTCACGACTGTTCTTAACTTTCTAGAATTTCCTAAACGGACTGTCCTGTAAGAGGAAGATCAGAGATTCCTCACCCTTTTCTTAGTTAACAGTATACCAACTTGTGTGTTTAGATGAGAATTTAAGATTTACTACAAAGCACTATCAAAAAACGTTTGGGTTTTTTTTGCCAGCAGGGGGATGGTAAGCATTTATATAGTGCCTACTTTGTGCCTGGCATGGTGCTAAATGCTTTCATAAATATTATTTCATTTGATCTTCACAACAACCTTGCAAGTTAGATGCTGTTATTATCCCCATTTTACACTTGAGCAAACTGAGGCAGAGGCTGTGACTTGCCTGGGTCCTTATAGCCAAAACATGTATGAGGTCATATTTAAACTCAATTCTTTCCGACCTCCAGACCCAGTGCTCTAAGGCAGTTTGGGGAAGGAATGGGAAATTACAGTAACAAATATAAAAAGTAACAGTAACACAAAGTCACAGAGTTTCCCATAGTTTAATCTTGGTCTTCTGTGACACCTTAAGAATATTTACTCACTGGTCTAGGCCTGTTAAAGAAGGAGCAAGGAACAAAATATAAAGTAGTTCCCTCCTTGCTCAAATTAGAAATTTCATTTCCTATCTCCCTTCATTGGAGAGATGGGAGACTTTCAGAGTGAAATACTGTCAGATGTAGTTTATGGGTCATTTGGCATTGCTAATTTATTTTTTCTTCTTTGTTAAACAAGAGTGGTCCCTGGAAATGGGGAGGGGGCGTATTCAGTTATTACTGTAATATAAAAGTAAGCAAAAAGCATCAACAGACTTTTATTTAAAAAAGCAAACTATCCATCCCTACGATGCAACCAAACCACCCTGATGTAACTTGACCATCTGTGACTGTTCTCTCTGTATTAGTTTGATCATTTAGGTACCCTGACACCAAGATCAGCATCTCTGACCTATAGCTACTATGACATGGCCTTTAATATTCTGGAATGATGTCTATTTTCTCTGCTTCCCTGTATTCACAAGATATTGCATGTGTCAAGAAACTTCTTGAGAGAAATGTCTAATTGGTCTATCATCTTGGTCACTAGCCTTTCTTAAATATATGCCCCCCCATGCTTTCCTGATAGAGCCATTACACCGACAGCTATATTCCTGCTTGTGGTCAGGCTGTTATTAACCTACTCAGTACCTCTCTCAAAGAGGAGTGATAGATAGAATTTTGATGCTGTAGGTCAGGCTAACCTAGCTCTAAGAGAGAGGTGCTGCCCTTTCATAGTGAGTTTAATTTTATTCTTAGTCATTTTGGTGGTATTTCTCTCACACATCTCACAGTGTGGCTTCTCATCTTAACAAACCTGCTTTTCTGGACCCAAGATGTTAAAGAACTTCCTATGGTAGCCATCTTGCCTCTTTTTGGTTAAGCCTACATATATTGTGGGGGGAGGGTGGGCCTACAGCTTAGATTTCTTTTTATCTAGCTTCTTTAGCAGCCTTAGGTCTTGATATTAACTTAGTAATTCCTTTGACATGGATATTGCTAACATCTTTCATCCCTCCAAGATTTGTTTCTTCATTATATCATTATAGGTGGTAGGAGACTTGGGCTTTAGCTCTCTAGCTCAATGATTCTCAGAATACCTCACATTGACTTCCCAAGTGTGACCTCGGAAGTGCCTACTGTCACCTCAGAGTCCTGTCAAGAAAATAGTTTGTTATATGGGATGGTTAGGGTGGGCCAGGCAAGGAGAGGAGATCCTGGGGAAAACCATGATGATGTTAATAAACCTATTTTTTAAAAATCTCATCAAAAAAGAAATTCTCTGAATCTAGACCTCAAAGCTACTTCTACTTTAAGTTACTGCTTTGTCCACCTGATCCCTTTGAAATCACTGTTATTGTCATCACCTTATCTCATCCCCTTTGGCTGGTCCTCTTACACAGATTCTATTATCAAGATCTTTTCAATCATTTCACTTCCTTCTTCCCCACTGTAGTTCAAAGTGCTTCTTGCCATCCAACCCTTGAAAGACTGGCTGCCTGACTGAGGGCCTCTATGAACCTGGATCTCTCTGTTCTCAGTGTGTAGATTTTGGACTTAGATTATCCCACAACACCTGAGTGTTCCAGCCCCAATTTACCCAGTAAACAAGTTCTTATTATTTAAGTGATCATGCTATTGATCCTTTAATAATAGTTCCCAGGTTTTCATTTTTAGAACCTGTTGGCAAGGTATTTTTATGGGAATCTCTTCCTTCAGTGGAATTTTCACCTTGACATAGACAGAAGCCTAACTTATTAAGTCATGATATTAAAACAGTTATTTTAGTCTAGTATTTTTTAATTAATGTAATTTAACTAAAGTTTGATTTTCTGGAACTCTGTTTAATAGAATGAATTTCTGAACTCATTGTAGTCATTTTGGAAGGAAATCTTTCTAAACAGTATATATACAATTTGCTTCCACTTTACTAAGTGCAGTTGAATTTGTTCTTAGTGATAAAGGATCATGAATGCAAGGATCAGTTTAAGGGATAGTTTGATTTCTTGGGCTATTTGACCCTCTGCTAAATGCCTGCAGATTACTTTTTCTTTTTAATCGTTCTTGCTGCTCTCTCTATGCCTGCCTGTAATGACCCCTTTGCATCCTTATGATTTGCAGCTTATAATTTCTTATGAGGTTGAAAACCTGATAGACGGCTTTGGCTGCCTGAAGGCCTTTTTTTACTCATTTGTTCTCACCTGTGTGTTCTGGATCACTCACAATCAACAAATATTTAGTAAGTGCCTTTGATATACCTAGCAAGGCACTGGGAATACAAAGACAAAAATAAAACAGCCCCTGCCATTAGGGGGCTTACATTCTTTCCAATAAGTAAGATACATCTGATCTCTTTTTAATAACGGGAAGGAGTTTGGGATTTTGCTTTTGAAATTTAATATTTTTTAAATATTTCAAAAGCCACTGCGATGTAATAGGTACTTAAACTATTTGTGCTAGTGACTTTAGTAACACTAAAACTTATGTGTACCTTTTTCTTTTTCAGATTTACTAAATATATTGTATTGCTATGTTTCACTAAGTTTCTAAAGGCTTTGGGACTTTTTGAATCATATGATCTCTTGAAAGTAGTTCACATTGTACAGTTCATCTTTATATTAAAACTTGGGTGAGTATTCAGAATTTTCTCCAAGTTTTTAATTTGATAGGTGATTCAGAATAAACTATATTATATGTATATAAAACTATATATACTATATGTGTTTGTAAAACGGATACCTCTTAGAAAGTAATTGGTAAAGTTCAAAAAGTCTTATACCTGAATTAATACCTATAGGTTGAGAAATCCCTTCCCTCTCACCCCTGCAGAACAAAAACAAAAAAACCAAAACACCATTTTTTGTTTAACAAAAAAAATATATTTTGCTAGAGGTCTTGCCAAAATGATTGTCCTTTTGAGCATAAATTGAAATGCCAAGTTTCTTATTATTGGTGATAGAATTCATAGAAAATTAATATAAATCTTTTATCATTTTTTAGGGAAATAACTAGTTTAGTTTTACTATTTATATGGAATACACTGATTAGTATAATTACATATAATTAATATATAATTATATATACTATATATAATTACATTTTTTACAAATTCTGTAATTTAAATGAATCACTCTATTACTTTCAGATAACGTGCAGGTGTATCTCTGCATTAATTAAATAGCAAACGCCTGTGATCATTCCTCCCTTCTGTTCTATGCAGACTATATTACATAAATTATTTTAGATTATATTTGTTATTTTTACTTTAAGAGTACAAAGTATGATTATAAAGTAGTAGATGATTAAACTAGTGGCTTGAATAACTTATAAACTGATTTTTAAGGCCATTACAAAAAGCACAATCAAAAAATATTTTGAGCAATAATGAATGTTAGAATCAGCATAGTTCCCCATGACGATTGGTTTGAAAAACAGTAATCTCTTAATGGATATGAAAGTTTTGCTGTGTTTGTTTAAAACCCATTCTCATTTTTCCTGATACCTTCATATCTACTGTGCTAATGTTTTTATATTTGCTTCATTAGGTCTGCTTTTTTTATGGTTTTGTTTCAAAAGCCATTTTCCTCTGGGAAAACTATTACAAAACACCAGGTGAGTTGTTTGCAAAGTCATTTACTCTTGGCTGCGGTAGGGAAACATTTCTATCTTGCCTCCCTGCCAGGTAAGTCAGGATAAAAATGTACATCATGAGTAAAAAGGTAAAGATTTTAGACTCAACAGAATTTTGACTGATGAAATTTTCTGAATAAATAAAACTAAACATGTATTGATACAAAACAAAATAAATTAATGCAGTAGACCTAAGAGATACTAGAAATTAAACTGAAGTTAATGTGTAAAAAATACTTAAACCTGGTAACTTTTGTTGTTTTTTAATTTCCCAATCTTCCATGATGAAGTCAAGTACAATATAATTGTTTCTGTTAGGTCAAGAACAAGTTAATTCTCGTGTCGATTAAAATTTCAAGGATAGGGGCAGCGAGGTGGTACAGTGGATAGAGCACCAGCCCTGAAGTCAGGAGGACCTGAGTTCAAATCCAGCCTTAGACCAAACACTTGACACGTATTAGCTGTGTGACCTTGGGCAAGTCACTTAACCCTGATTGCCTCACTTAAAAAGAAAAAGAAAAAAATTTCAAGGATAAAGGAGCTGGAAAAAATAAGAAATGTGATACATAAAAATGTGAAAAGGAGTATTAAAGTTTGCATAAGATGTAAAAACTAGTTTATCCTTTTCCGTTGCAGTATTTATAAATTTAAGACATATACATTTGACATTTTATAGCCCATCTTAGAATTCTTTAACCTATTATTTTTCATTGCATTGTTCCAGTGGAAAAAAGCATTTGATTTAGGGTAAAAAAAAAATCTAGTTTTAAATCCTACTTCTTCTACCACCTGTATAACTTAGGGCAAAGAACTTAACCAGACTGACCTAATGTTTTTTCTTTTAATTTTCAAACAAAGTTTATCCTTCTCTCTCCACCTCCCCCTATCCTCAAGAAAACAAAACCTCTGTTACAAACCTATATAGTCAAGTAAAACCTAGTCTTAATCTGAACTCAGAGTTGATCACCTCTCTCAGATATGTTTCATCATGAGTCCTCAGGAATTATAGTTGGTCATTGTGTTGGTTAGAGTTCCCGGGGGGTGGGGGTGGGTGTGTGTGTGTGTGTGTGTGTGTG